GATAACAGAAGAAAATATAAGGGGAAAAATAAAACCCAGAAATGAGGGTAACTGAAAAGCACTGCAAGACTACTGCATCATTATGACTTTTCAAATTATTTAAATATGCTAAATATCAAGTCACCACCAAAGAAATAAATATTGCATAGGCCATATGCTCTGTTAGCTGCCAGCAAAACAGTCCTACTAGGATTAGTTTACGGGCGCAGCAACTGCCTGTCAAACACTAGTGATTTTAATCATTTTTCAATTTGCTGTGTGAGTTGCGAGTATGCTCAGGTATTTTGACAGGTGGCTGCTCAGAACAAATATCTGAGCCCAGCAGCTTCACATCGCCTTGCTTTCCTACGCACTTGCAATTCCTGTCGGGTTGAAGGGACGTTAAGTGTTTGGCGAAGATGCCGCAGTCGCAGGGAAGTCACTGTACGGCACTGCTACGCTGTATTTGCAACTCATGTAGAACCCAAGTTTGACGCAAAGTTAGCCTAAAGTCTAGCGCAAAGCAATGGCTGTGTAACATAACGTTTCACTTGATTTTTCAAACCATTTCTAATCAAAAACAAGCTGAACATCTCAAAAAAAAAAAAAGGTAAATAGAGATCTGGCTATGACTTTAAACAAATAATAGAAAATCTAAAATAGTACTTTTCTGCGCACTAGATGTGCTTTCAGTACTACACGCGATTCATCTATTACGCACTAACTGCCCACTTAATTAATTCGTGTTTAATCTACAAGGTAATACCGAAAATAATTTTAGCTCTTCTGTTGCACGTTCTAGTGACCAGTATAACCGTGCCGCTCCCTTTCAGCCACAACACTTCGCGCATCAAGAAACAAGTTCCTAACTTGAAAAAAACACAACTCTCTTGATTTTTGAGTGTCAGATTTCCAGGGAAAAATGAGGCTTCTAAAATCTATAGACATTCTGGGAGAAACCAGAGGAGGAACTCTGTTTTCCTGAAGAAGCAAACCAATAACATCAAAGCACCATAAATAAACCACATTTCCGATACTGTTCTTCATACATTAGCATTCTCAGCATCAACTCCCTGATGTCAGCCAAACCTGTCCAGTGGAAAGGATTTCGATTATGATGTAAACTAACAGTAAAGACAATTCCAAATAACATCTAATGTCCAATATAACTACTGTTTACATATTAAAAAGAGATACAGGCTTTGTACCAGGGATGTTCTGTCATGTTTCTCCACAGGAGAAGACTGTCACGGTAAAGTTCATTATCAATTACTGCTTTACAAGTACAAGATGAGTTAAGCTGTCATAATTTTCTCAGCCAGAGATCCTCTGCTGTCAAAGAATGTCAATTTTTAATCTGACAAAAGGAAGAAAATTATCTGTTATTCTGACCTCTAATTTCTTGACATTTTAATGCTGTAATTGCTGTGGTTAGTGCTGCAACCATGATTTCACCTGTCAAGTAAGAATGAATCAATATCCTTAAGCTGTACTTCAAGTTTCAGCTTTCACCTCACTGCTTTTAGTTTAAAAAAGGAAAAATTTACAAATAGAATACAAAAGGTTGCAATAAAAAAAATAAGAATAATTTGGGGCCTGAAAAACGTTTATTTTGTTACACAATTTTTCCCCTCCTTATTACAAAATGAAAACTATTTTGCAATCAGCAGAATAAGAGAGCCCATTAGAACTGATAGAACTGGAGAATTTCCCAATTTCTAATCATAAAAGATCTAAACAACAAAATTCAATTTTATACTTTCTGTGGAGCATTTAAGTCAGGACTTTCACGTTGCCCTCATCACTAGTTGAAATAAATTATAGTGGTCAAGTATTTTTTCTGGTGTCATAAAACTACAAAATTGCTTGAAAAATCAAAATCAGTATGTTTAAATGAAATCAGTATATTTTACCGATCCAGTGCAGATCTTAAATTGCCAAAGAGTTATTACGGGGGTAGACATATGTAATTTCAAAGACTTCAGTAATCTAAAACTTAAGGTTACCCCAGCATTCCCATTTCACCCATTATGAGTTTGCCAAATAGAAAATGAAGAAGCGAGCCAGATGGAGAGTCTTCTACTGAATAGGTCCAAACAGAACAAAAGCACAGGACGGCCACTTGTCCAGTGTTAAACATTGGAGAGTTCTTAGTGGGCTCCCCCATGCATGTGAGAAAGAAGTAAGGAATGGCAGGGATGAGTTATCCCACCATTGAATATGTTTTTGCTCCAGCTAGAGGGCTACTCAAGTGACTCCTTTACCATTTTTCACAGAAAGCTGAGAACAACATATCCCACAGTGGTTAAGCGAGGTTCTCAAGCGAAAGGTGAAAATGAAAGGGCCAAGGTACAGCATGAACAGGTCACAGGGATCTGCCTCTTTAAATGATGTCTTTCAATCAGCTCAGACCTAAATCGGAGGGTTTTTTTTATTTGGAGCGTTATTTCACTGGACAGGTTCTGCTGGGGCTCAGCTCAATATGAAATCAGTTACAGCCACCGTTTGAGGAGGTTACTGCCATATTTGAGCCCATTGGTCCGATAACGGCCGCTGCCAAGAAGGTTGTATTGATTGCCTTATTTTACAGCCATTCATTGAGAACATTCACTGTCTTCTGTGTGACAAAACAAAAACTTTTCCGTTTATTTAGAAAATAAACATCAAGAGAATTTGGATACTGAGAGATGTATTTTCGTGGATAACTGCAAAGCTCAGTTAATTTTAAAATGCAGTGTTGCTAAGTTAAGATGCCAGACACCACCACCTGCCACCGTAAAACAACCTAACAATTGTTATCACTATTTTTAAAGGTGCTAGTGTTCCTATCCTTACATTTCTGTATTTATAAGTGACCTTCAGAGGCTTTTAAAAGATCTTTTTCCTTTTAATTTATTTTCTGGAATATTTAGTAAAAGCCAGAATAAAGTTTAAAAAAAAAAAAAGCCAACAAAACAATGTACAATGAAAATATATACTTCTAACAGAAACACGACATCCAGATACCTGATCTACTAGATCATCAAGACATCAAATGTTTTATTACTGGCCAGAGGATGTCTGCTAGTTTCATAAACAGAGCTCAGGGAAACAGAAGGCAGCTCTAAATCTGTCAGTATTTACACATGTATTGTAATTTTTGATTAAAAATGAAAAAAAAATGTATTTTTTAACCTTTTTATGACAAACCACAGATCACCAGTGTCTGAGATCTCTTGGAGGAGAAAGCATACTGTTTTTAAATGTCTGCATACAACTTTATGTATCTATATACAACAATAATATGAAGGATTCATTTTTCCTAGACATGTTGCCTTCTCATTGCTAACAATGATTTTTATTTACTAATCTAACCTGTGGAAATGAAGATAAAGTTGTGGGTTTAGAAGTTTACATGGTGTAAATAGCCCAAGAAGAGGTTTAAATGCTATTGACTGACAGGGCATGGGTTACATGTAGAAGTGAGTGAACAAAAACATCTCCATGAATTCCTTGAAATTTCTGATGACAAGTTATGCGTGTAAGTAGAGCCACAGGAGAGCTGAGAGTCTCATCATGTCATAAGATGTTAAATAAGGTGCGCAGACAGACAGATAGACCTCAATCCTACAAGCTGCCCTGTGGGAGTAGACCCTTAAAGACAAGACATAGGAGTTTGCCCATGCAAATCAGGACCTTAAGCCATGCAAATCCCTTGTATTCATGGTGCTTGACACCTGTTTTATACTTTAAAAAGCATTGCTCCTTCATATCTCAGGTTTTGTACCTTACTGATTCTTCTCGTGCTCCAAGTTTTAAATCCAGAAAACCATTATGTAGATGTTAACATTAAATATTTGAGGCAGTGGGATCAAAGCAGTTCTGGCCATTCTTAAAACTAAGCAAATACTGTTTACAAAACATAAGCTTTGCAGTGCATGGTGCGAAAATTCTGCTCTAAGAAGCTAGGGGTCTAAATGTCTGTTTTAGTTCTGTTCCTCAAAAAGCACCAAATGTAACAAGATGCAGCAATGCACTCCTAAAAACCAACATGCCAAAACCCAATATTTCGCTGAATACCAATGCTTTCTAGAATCTATTTCTTTCAGAAATCTGTAGATTTCTGTCTCCAAGATTGGAAAACAAACAAACAAACAAACAAAAACCCATCGCCTGGCAATGTATAAATTATTACTGTTTTGCATACAGCAGATGGCAGCTATCTGGGGGAATGGAAGATTGTGTGTACAGCTTCATCACAGCGGTACTCATCTAGCAGCTGTTGCTTCTTTACACTTTTCACCAAATTTCAATTGTTTTAGCCAATGAATGGATGATATTAGAAAGTGATCATTCAAATTAACAGTCTTATGAAAAACAAATACAGTTACTGGAAGCAAACCTGTATCAGCATAGCTAGTACAATTTTTTTTTAAATTTACTGTTAAATTCAAAACGCTCACTTGTATATATGCACATGTATATATATTTCATGCATACATATATACAAGCATAAATATGTGTATGCACAACAAATAACAAATATTTTCTATTTTGGTAACAGTTTGATTATACTTTACATGATTAACACAAAAGTAATCTGAATAATTGCTACTGTCACTCTAGCAAATATGTTCTTTTTCAGATACATATGCTTACCAACATTATCTAACTGAAAAGGTTAGATTTTCTCCCCTATGACTATGATGCAGTTTTTTCTTCCAGTTTTCAGTTCTACCAAGTGAACTTCATAAAGTAAATTATAAAAAGTAGCAGAATATATATTACATAATATACATTACATTATAATTTCCCATATCATAGCTGACCATTAAATATATTAGTAACTTCAAGCAAATAAAATACTTTAGGAGATCTGTTTTATTGCTAGTTTATTAATATTTGCTTCTGAAGTCACCTAGGGCCTAAGTTCTGATTCAAGTCACACACCACGATTTTCTCCAGCAGTGAGAGACAGAAAAAAGTACCATTTCTTGTGAGATGACTGCATTTTTTAGAACAAAATGGCAGCAAACACCTACCTCCCTGAGGACAGGATCAGTGATACTGTCCAGGTTCACAGAGCCTTCATATGTTAGGTAGTGGAAAACGTTGAGTGCACGCACTGCTTCTGGTCCTCGTTGCTTGTAGCCAAATATAAGGTCAATCCACTGATGAAGTTGACATGATACAAACTCGCTTTCCAGGGCCTGCAAGTAAAATTCAGGGTTAGGAAGTAAATTCCATCTTGCAATTTCATGCTTAAATTATGTCCTACCTTTTCCTATTAACTGAGGAAACATACTGGGTATCATTACATTTCCTGTTCAGGCTTATTTGATACATTTGAAATCCTTCAAACATTAAAAAATAGAACTAATTATATTGAGAGAAACACTAAAAAGATATTCTTCTCTCCTTCAGCTTTATATTATGCTAATTTTCTTCTCAGCTACTGGGTTTATCCTAGCTGCAAGGGTTTTAATTATTATTTTTTGGGCTTGTCAAATAAGTTAGGTAATTTGTCACGAAAAACTGATGAAAATGGGAAAACAATTTCAAAAACCCAGTCTTCCACCTCATTTTCCAACTAGTTCTAATTAGTTTTAAATCTAAAATGGAAACTTGAGGATTAAAAAGCTGTATCGGCAAAATGAGGTTCTGAACTCCATGTGTGAACTGTGACTGATTTCTCAAAGGAGAAAAGTATTTTTCACACTCACTTTTGACATTAGGTTGGTTGACCAGAGAAAACACAGGCTGTGACTAGCTAGTTTAAAAACAGTTTCAGGGATTGCTATTCCTTGCTCAGCATATGGAAAGAAATAAATGGCAGATGAGGGAAATGATGATAGTATTACCGTTGAGCCTGATCCAACCAATGTGCCTCTATCAGACATGACTGGTATCCTTAGTAGTTATCATTGCCTGAAGTGGAAGTTTTGAAAGCTGAAGGGATTACACAGTTTTTCCTTACCCTTCTACCAGACTACCTGTCTTAGTTTCCCATGAGCCTGTACCTGGATACACCAATCATTCTATAAAGGCTCATCATATATATAAGATGGCATCCTGGCACACTCGTTCCTTCTTTCTTAATGCTACCTTCAGAGAACTGTGATAAACAGGAACTGGTATTAAAATAAAGATTCATGGTTCATTGACCAAGACTTTATATATGTCCTTGCTCAAAGTCCATCACAGTCCTGATTTTGTAGACAGCCATATACCTAGTTCCCTTTGATCACAGTAAGTGCACTTCTGTTCTCAGATCTAGGAACTAACTTCTAATTAGTTTGCTAGGAAAAAAAAAAAAAATTACAGAATCATAGAATGGCTGAGTTTGGAAGGGACCTCTGGAAATAACCTGGTCCAAGCCCTCTGCTCAAGCAGGGCCACCCAGAGCAGGCTGATCAGGACGGTACCCAGATGGTTTTTTTAATATCTCCAAGGATGGAGACTCCACCACCTCTCTGGGTAACCTGTGCCAGGGCCCGGTCACCTGCACAGTAAAAAAGGTTTTCCTGATGTCCAGAGGGAACCTCCTGTGTTTCAGTTCGTGCCCATTGCCTCTGGTCCTGTCACTGGGCACCACTGAATAGAGCCTGGCTTGCTCTGAAAAATAAAATGCCAGCCTTAATACAATTTATTATGTAAACGTCTATGTCAGGCTTACTACTACTCACTGCATACAGGCAGAGCTGGCAGCAACCCTCTATATTACATTATCTAATACTTTTCATTCTCAAAGATTGTGGCTTTTTTTTTTTTTCTTCCCCTGAGAAATCGTAATTCCTCCATTGTTTCCAGCACAGCACCACTACTCAGCACAAACACTTTCCAGCTAGGACAGAGTTTCATGTCTGCCCCAGGAAAATTCAGATTTTACAGGGGGATAGACTTTGGAAAAAATATGGTTTCATTTTATTCATTTACATCAAAAGAAGGCTGCTTCAGAAATAATAATCGGACATTGTTGTGCCATGCAAAGCATTGTGCACCGGCAGCAGCCCCCTGCCCACCACCCCACGCACGGGAATCGCCGCAGACAGGGCAAGCCACGTGGGTCTCGTCCCTTGGGTAATCACGCAATCGTTCCTCAGACATTCTCCTTCTAATGCTCTACATGGAAGAGGAACTCTCTGTGCTCTGGTGGTTGAAACCAGTGATTGTCATTTCTGAGGAAAATGGATGGGAAGGCTCAGGCTTAATAGCTGACGTAGCTCAGTTTTCAAGGGCTTAATTTCAGCATACCTTAAGAAGCTATAAAGAAATGTTGCACAGAACCATATAAAAATTCATTGTTTCCTTTTCAAAATCAGAGGTCATCATATGCAAATTGTGAGTAATATTATTTAAATAGCATTAATACTACTTAACACCAAATACTATTAAATGAATACTATTTGGTTTCAATGCATGTCTCCCAATAAATAATTAAGAAATGTCAGATCCTTAATTATATTGTATAGTGTGCGTGCAACATGACATAGTCAGCAACTACATCATTCCATATAATCCTCTCCATAGGACCTTTACCTCATTTAGCATGCAGGATGTTAGCATGCAAGGATAAAATTAAGTATGCCACGGCAACCATAAATAAAGCATTTCTTAACTTTTAAATGCTCAATTTTTAATGTTGCTTTGTATGTAATAAAACTTAGAATTTAAAGCCTGTTGTCTTTCCAGCATCTATCTCCGACCAACTTACAGCAAGCAGCCTAACTGTTCTCTTCCTCCTCCACGCTCTACATATTTATAAGTTTCTTTTGCATCTGTATCTATTATTAATTTATTAAAAAGAAATTGAGAAAAAAAATTGTTAGGCATTTGCTTTGGTCAAAAATAGCATTGTTATTTCTAGAATACAGAGAGCATTTCAGGAAAACAGCAAAACTTTAACTATTTAAAGGTGGGACAATAAATTTTTTAAAAAAAAAAAAAATGTTTGGGTCAAATGTGCATATTTCACCTGTTAGCTCCTCTAACACCCTCTCCTTGGTGTTAGAATCATAGAACCATAGGATGGTACAGGTTGGAAGGGACCTTTCAGGGTCATCTAGCCCAACATCCCTGCAATAAGCAGGGACACCTTCAATTCGATCAGGTTGCTCAGAGCCCCATGCAACCTGATCTCAAATGCTTCCAGGGATGGGACACCTACCACCGCTCTGGGCAACCTGTTCCAGTGCCTCACCACCCTCCTTGTAAAAAATTTCTTCCCTATATCTAGTCTAAATCTACCCTCTTTTAGTTTTAAATCATTATCCCTTGTTCTACTGCAACAGAACCTGCTAAAAAGTTTGTCCCCATCTTTCTATAAGCCCCCTTTAGGCACTGGAAGGCTGCTCTAAGGTCTCCCCGGAGCCTTCTCTTCTCGAGGCTGAACAACCCCAACTCTCTCAGCCATAGGAGAGGTGCTCCAGCCCTCGGATCATCTTCATGGCCTTCTCTGTACTTGCTCCAACAGGTCCATGTCCTTCTTGTGTTGGGGGCCCCAGAATTCAAGGCAGTACTGCAGGGGGGGTCTCACCAGAGAAGAGCAGAGGAGCAGAATCCCCTCCCTTGACCTGTCCATATTGCTGACAAAGATGTTAAATAGCACTGGTCCTAGTACCAACCCCCAAAGAACATCACTCATCACTGGCCTCCATTTGGACATTGAGCCATTGACCACCACTCTCTGGATGCGACCATCCAACCAATTCCTCATCCACCAAACAGTCCACCCATCAAATCCATATCTCTCCAGTTCAGAGAGAATGATCTTGTGGGGGACAGTGTCAAAGGCCTTACAGAAGTCCGGATAGATGGCATCCACAGATCTTCCGTTGTCCACTGATGCAGTCACTCCATCACAGAAGGCCACTAGGTTGGTCAGGCAGGACTTGCCCTTGGTGAAGCCATGCTGGCTGTCCTGAATCACCTCCCTGTCCTCCATGTGCCTTAGCACAGCTTCTGGGAGGATCTGTTCCGTGATCTTCCCAGGCACAGAGGTGAGGCTGACAGGTTGATAGCTCCCAGGGTCCTCCTTTCTATCCTTTTTAAAAATAGGGGCAATGTTTCCCTTTTTCCAGTCACCAGGGACTTCACCTGACTGCCATGACAAATGCCATGGAGAGTGGCTTAGCAACTACATCAGCCAATTCCCTCAGGACTGTGGGATGAATCTCGTCAGATCCCATAGACTTGTGTATGTTCAGGCTCCTCAGGTGGTCATGAACCCCATGTTTGAACTTTGCTTCCCCAGTCCCTGCCTTGCAGTCCCATCCACTCCAGAGGTGTGGGAAGAGAGGCTGGCAGTGAAGACTGAGGCAAAAAAGTTGAGTACCTCAGCCTTCTCCTCACCCGTTGTAACAAGTCTGCCAGTCTTACTCATCACGGGGGCTACACTTTCTTTGACCTTCAAAGTTAGGAGAGTTAGGAGAGCTGAATGCCTGTGTTATGTTTCCCTCAGGCAGTTTTTACTTGCATGACCAGCCCTTACTCAGCAGCTTGTCATTCCAGAGAAGGTCTTACTGACCCTGGCAGGTTTGGAGAACTTCTGTTCCACATGGATGAAGGGTTCTTTAATAACTTATTAAATAAATGAGCTACATTTTAACAGCAGCATGGCATGTCTTCATCTCCAATTCTTTAAGCAGATTTATTGTACTAAGTTTATAGATCTAATGGTTCTTTAAAGACCTTGGAGTCCTTAGTTCCTTGGGGAAGAACCTTAGTTTCTTGGGGAAACTTTGCCCAAAGTTGTAAGGAGTTAATTTAATTAATTTGAACTATAAATTTCAGAACTCCACACAAAATTGGAAGTCAGAAGAACTGCTGTCAGGAAGGCTGAGGATGTCGGTAGTAGCAAGGGGATTAACAGCACTGTGCCTGCCAGGCACTGTGTGGTGGAAGACCAGGGTGGTGGGGGATTTGGGTCAGAGACCAGAGTAGAAGGTGGAGAGAGAAGCCAGAGCTGTGAAGGAGAGTGGCTCTGCATGGGCCTTGGCACCACACAGCCTCCAGCCGTGGGCTACGATGGGTGCTGTGCGGTCTTCACATCCTCCCCATCAGGGTGTCCTGTGGGCTACGGCACTCAGCACAAACAACAGGTAGGATGCATTCAAGAATGGGCCACCAAAAGGCTGCAAAGTCCTACCTGGTCCTCGGTGGGGACAAGGCTCCTGATCGGTGCTTTATAACCTGGATCCGTTTTAGTCAG